AGAGGGGAAAGGGATTTTTACCTATTAGGGTTGCATCCAGTTGTTCCAGTCCCTAGTTCATGCATGTTTGAGACCCCAATAATGATAGCCCCAGCCTCTCGCAGCTTCTTGGCCACAGTAGCATCTTCTGTCTCAGGCTCTGTCCCAAGATAGACTGTTCCCACTCGGTGATGGTAAGGTACCTTAGCAAGAAGACGCCTTATTATTCATCCTAAAACCCTGGCACGGTAGGCAGGCACATGTGTGTGCTTCACACGCACACTTCAACTCCACAACAGATCCAAGACATTAAAACCAACAGAGGTAGCTAAGGGCTAAGAAGCTTCACTCTTCAACTTGTCCTGCATTGGTTTCTGTTAGGAGGGACACTTAACCCTTCAATATTTGGTCCTCCCATGCAAGGAGTCCTTTTAATGCCATGATAAAGAAAAGCAGAAACATGTAGATCGTCAAAAAGTCTGCCTCGCTGGAGTAATGCAATTGCTATGCCCAGAGGCTGCAGAACAGTCATCTTGCCCCCACAGCACACAGAAGCTCTATTTTCCATTTTTCTATGGACAGAGCTTCAGCGTTTCAGAGCTGCACTGCTTTGAAGCAAGGCACCGAGATTAGATGGATGCCAGAATACCAGATGGACTCATTTTCAGGGTATGCTAAGTACTCTTCACTTCAATGCAGCAATGGAAGAATCTGTACATAAACAGACTCCCACCCAATGGGTAGGTCTCTGCAGAGCCTACGACAGCTTGATGGCACTGCCAGGAGTATTTAATGGTAACTGTTGTTAGGCCACAGGCAAAACTCCTTGTGAGAGGGAATTTTCAGAGTAACTTGCGTATTTCTGACACAAGTACGTCCTTTAAGGTAAGGAGAGAGGGATTCTTTGCCAGTGGAGCAGACAGTGCCTGAGAAATACAGACACTTACACCCACTGCTACAGATGCTTTTATACATTCCCATTTCATCATAAGAAGGACTGTTTTCCACCCCCACGCTCTACTTCCCATGGATTAAAGAGATGAGTGCAAGATACAAAACACGTCTGCTGTACCCAAGATCTGTCTTCACCTGGCAAAACTTGTTAATCCTACTCATTACAAACCCACATACTACCCCTTATTACAAACATATTCTCAGGCTTCTGCTGAGATGTTGGCCTTAAAAACTTGTCACAGTGAGTTGTCCAGGTTGATGACCTGCAGCATGAACTGACAGCTAAACAAGGAAACTCACCACTTTGAACTCTTCTTTCAGACACACTGGGATGCCATCCAGGTAAGACAGGGTACATTTATTCCTGTAACGAGCAGTGGAGGCCTCAGCCATCTGTACAGAGAAAAAAAAAAAAAGTATGTGTTACATACATTTAGTCAAGCTGAAGGTCATTACCAGTATCAGAATGGATACCAAAAATGGCTCTCTCAGGCTTCTACTAAGCCAAACTATAAAAGTTGCTTTCTTCCACCATATGCTGATGGAAAACTCCTACTTGGAAGCATCTATGTTAATGGATGCCACATAAGCACAGAAGTCCTGTTTTAAACATAGTTGTCCAGCAGGAAACAGATTGCTTAAATGCTACCTCTCTTTGCAGGAAAGAAAGCAAACTTGTTCATAGTCATCTACACAAGGAGGGAGGAAAAATGTACATATTTATCTGTGCAATACATCAGCAGAAGAGCCTCTGCCCCTTTCTAATGGATGCTACTACTCTTGGGGTGGCAGAGGCCCCTTTCCTACCAGAGGCAGACATTACCAGCATTATTTGCTCCTTGTCCCATTGCACTATCGCTCTGAGTGGGGGCGTGGATTTGTCGCAGTCCTCCAGCATGGCAATGATGTTCTTTGCCACCTGAGATGGCGTCAGCTTCCCACTCCTACAGGACAGGAGAACCTGTTGGGACCTTGTTACAAGACCCCCACACCACACCCACACCCAGGGTTTGTCTCTCATGTAGCAAGATAGCAGCTGTCACAGCTGTAAGCAAGAACTAGGTGTGAATCTGTGTGTGGCGATGATTTCAGCACAGCTGACACCAACAAGACAGAAGACTCCCTTTCTTAAGGAGAGAATTTGGCTACACAGCACGCTCCCAACACTTAGAGTAGGGGCCAGAGCTAGGAGAGTTACCCAGATGTTCCTGAACCATCAGATAAACAGGGAAGGACAGCTGACAGCTTTACAGAGAGTCCTCAAGCTCCTCTCCTTCTCACTCATGTGTTTGGGCAAACGAGGTATGTAGAAATCCCTCCCAGAGAAGACTGACAATAAACGAAGGAAAACAGCATTTAAATATCCTTGCAGGGCTGTTAAAAGTTGTGCCAGCTCCCCCAGCTGGCTTTCCTTCATTACTCTATTAGAGGGAAAGGATTGCAAAGGGTGATGCTAAGCAGTGGTACCTCAAGGACAATACTAACAAAATGATGCCTGAGAGCTTGTGGAACAGTAGCAGCCCAGAGCAGGGGAACAGGCGAGACAAGTTGTGCCCAGACCACAATTTCACCTACCGGTAGCAGTCCAGGTAGTCTCTGATCCCTTTGAAGCTAAACGCATTGCTAGCAGAATCAGACCTGCAAAGAAAGGATGAAAGGGGCAACTGTGAACCATTAAAGCCACCTCTGTTTAGACCTGCAGGCTTCAGTATCACGGTCCAGTGCAGGTCGGGCATCACTCACTTCCAGTAAACCTGCTGGTCACCGTTTTGACTGCTACATATTTCAGCTCGCACTCCGTCAGACTCCTTGCACACATGCAAGACACCCGGTACACTAATGGTGCCACAGAAACAAAGGGTCAATCTTGCAGACACGTTCTAGTTGCTTCATATTTCTACTGCAATACAGCAGTCACTAAACTGTTCAAAATTTATTCCAGGTTTACATTGCTACTCACCACTGGAGCATTACAGAATAGCTAGAATATACTGGTAAACCTACTCCCAGGCTCTCTGCTCCAAGTTATATCCAGATAGCCAGCAGCACAATACAGTGTGTGGTGCAGGAGGGGGAAGAAACATTATGCAGCACACACAAAGATTCACATCAGCAAACTGCTTAAAAACTAAATCAATGGCTCTAGCACATAAGAAATAGACCATTTCTCATCACAACAGGATGTACTTAAGATCATCTGAAGAGCTAGCTACAATTACTATTCCTGTGATGTCTCCATATCATCATCCAAACCAGAAGCCATATTCTGGAACAGGACAGCGTATGGCACCGTAACACGCCCTGCAGGGAAGAGGCAAGGCTCCAGTAACCGGCCCTGGAGCTGGGGATACAAGAACCAGAAGGCTGCACTCACCCTGACCGATGCCTGCAGGAAATACATCCCTTCCTCTAAAGTGAAGGAGCTGAAAGTTTTCCCTTGCTCTAGCTTAAGAACTCAAGCAGGAAGCAAGCTTAATCTTGCTAAAAGCAGAGATACATACAGAGAACCCACTCTCTGAGATGCTGATGAAGTGCAGCTCATAGACATCTTCCATAACTACTGGATAGGCCCACAACTAAGCACAAAACCATATGGGGAGAGCATTCATAGCAGTCCAGCTGCTCCCACCTCAGCATCAGACCTCAGTGAGACAAGCAAGCCTGAAAGTCTTGCCTGGAATCTAGCGGGATTTAATCAAGTACAGGGTGTAATCAAGAAGCTGAACAGGCTTTTAACCGAGCAACCTAAGAAACAAAGCCTGATTTCTTGAGGATTGTTTTCTTTATACCCTATGTTCCTTCTGTCCTCCAATCAACCCCTGTGTTCTCTTCGAGATTCCCTACAGGCAAGAAACAGCTCGCCTGCAAACTCACTTAAAGGGATGTAATGTGCTGCCTAGCCAACCACTAAGTGTAGCTGCTCTAATAGTGGAACCACAGCCCTGGCAAGGGCAGCATTTGGTCTCTACCAGGTAAGCGCACTCCCTGAAGCTTGTAGAAACTTCACATTGCTTGTAACTACTGGTGATTTATGGGTTACAAAAGGAAAGATGACTGACAGCACAATTTTTTTTGTAAAGTAGCTGGGAGTGGAAAAAGATTTTAATCCAACTTACTGACAACGATAGCTTCCCACTAATGTAACAGTGCCAACACATGTGTTGTTCCACATACATCACGTCACATACTGACCTTGCATCTATCAGCTGCTCGATAATATCCGAAGTGCTTTTAGCCTCAGATTTGTCTTCCATAACCTCCGCAGCAACCTCTGGGATAAACGTGGGATCTTCGTGAATGTCAAGTGAACGCATGAGCGAGAAGTTGTTCAGCCTGAAAGAGAGAGAGTCACTGCTAGAGTTTGCAAGCTCTACCATGACTAATTTTTCAGATGGTTCAGAGGGAACCTTACCCAAGAACATTTTATCTCAGCAGTCTGCTCTCACAGCAGGGAATTGCAACAGTTACAGATAATCTCTCTCACTCCTTCCCTAAAGGCTGCCTCAAACCTATTCTGCTTGCTTAACAAAGTCTCCCTCCTACTTCTTTACATAAGGCCAGCCAGCCTCCGCAAACCCAAGCTGGAAAAGAACCAGAGAAAGTTTTTGATTCACTTTAATTAGACATATCACCCGCAGACCAATAAAGGCAGGAAGGGAAAGGAAAAGAAAAGGAGAAAGTAGTATAAGCCTTATAGTCAAGCGCTAATCCTGTTAAAATAAGCACCTCTTCACACTTTTCCATGACCTACTTCAACATAGTTCGTTCGCAACCAAATACAACAGGGATTGCAGCACGAGTCCAGGGCTTGGAAAATATAATGAAGCAAGGAATTCAAGACCCTGTCACAGATGTCAAGGAACAATCTGCTGTATAACAGCAGTGACACTTATCTGGGTTTGATTCATTCAAAAAGCCCGTGCCCCAAGTAAAAATTATGGGGTACCAATTGTGCGTAATGCATTTCTCAGCATCCTGGGATCTACACAGATGACCCGTGACAGGCAAACTATGTGAGCCGAGTGTGAGCCTGAGCTTCCTGACACCTTACCCAAGTGGCTCTTAGTGCAATGTACACTTGAAAGCACAGTTTCTAAACAAAAACATAAATGAAAGAGGAGGGGAAAAGGCTGACCTAAAACAATGAATATCATTAAAAAGAACATGTCTGGCCTCATTTTCCCTGCTACTACTATTCTTTGACTACTATTGGTGGTAAACACAGCAGATCTGCACATTCACAAGCTTGGAAAGAAAGACTGCTTTTTAGCAAATGAACAGAAAGGCAAAGAGGCAAGCTGGCGAATCTGGCTTCTATGCACCTGCCTGAGTGTAAAAAAAGGTTAATTTCTTCTGATAGAAACCCACTCAAACCAGAGTAGTTTAGTAAACAACATCCATGACACAATCTTGCTCACTCTCCAATCAAGCTACGCGGCTTCCCTCTTAGAAAAGATAATTTCAGATAACCTGTAAGAGGTGTGCAATGCAAGCACTTTTCAAAAAACAAACCAAACCAAAAAACTTGGATGGGGAGAAAACTCCCCACACTTACCTCATTAAGAACGGCAGTAAGCAGATCTGTCCAAAAGCCTAGAAGAAAGTAAGCAGAAGCATTGGTTTGCAGTAACTTTGACCTGAACACCATCCTCACTAGACGAGGAAT